TTTCCGTACCTGGACGGATCCTTCTTGGAGTTCGGGTCGGAAGAGGAACTCACACGCTTCATCACCTACTTCGCCAAGCGTCCCATCTCACCGCCAAGGGTGCTGCCCGAGCTGTTCCCTCAACAGAAGGGATACTATGACCTTGACAATCAACTCAAGGAGTCGGGTTTGTGGCCCTTTGTCTCCAGGAATCGCACCGCCTTCAATCCCGCCTATGTCCGGGTCTTCTACTCCAATCTCCGCCGAGACGGGGACACCATCCGGAGCAGCATCAATCTCTGTGACATAGAGTTCGACTTGGCTACTTTTGCTTGGGTCGCAGGGCTGCCCATCCGCGGTGATGACATCGTGACGTACGGTGGCGACGACTGGATCCTCAACAACGAGGCGGTCGTCATTCGCGAGCTTGGGATCACCAACTTGATCCGCCACAGCGGCGCGCCAACGATTCACTCGGCCCCACCGGACAAGCGCCTCCTCCTCTACATCATAACCCGGATTCTTCGCCCCCGGGATAGCAGCCATACCTCGCTCTTCAACGAGGACTTGAAGGCGATCCACGCCATCATCCACGGCGCCTCCATCAACTGGGCGAAATTTTTAATGATTCACATGACGGATTGCGCCTCCATCACCACCGAGCGAAGCTTGCCGTACGCCTTCCTCGTCATGGACCTCATCGTCTCCGCCGACATCCACATCGCCGGGCCAGACACGAAGATGACAAAGCTGTGGATCATCCAAGACAGCACCTTCCGGAAGAAGTCTGGTGACAGAACCGGCGCAGGACGAAGTCGGGCTCCAGCCCCCGCTCCCGCCAAGGCGTCCTTACAGTCAATAGCCGATACCCTGAATCGGCTAACCATCACCGTGGATGGCATGGGCCAATACCTGGAGCGGATGGACTCGACGCTGCAACGCCAAAACCACAACATGACGGCGTACTTCTGCGGCATCAACTACGTCCCGCCGCCCTTTGACAGCACCATCCTCGGCAAGAACTATGAAGGCGAGGACGAGGAGGATGACTCCTATGCTCCGTCTTCCTCCCCCGACGAGGCCGACTTTGAGGACGCGGTCGACGGGGATCCCATGGACGTCGAGGACGACGAGGATGACGAGAACGAAGACGATGACGCCGAGGACGAGGACGCCGCTGCCTAGACTCTTCTCTCTCTCCTTTCCCTACTTTGATTGCAATTTTTATCTATTTCAATTCCGTTGTATTCAGCATTTTCTCATCTTTTAATGAATAAAAGTTTACTTTTAATTCTTTTTGTTAATGTCAAAAGGGGGAAGATATCAAGGTTATGCATAAATTGAGGGGGAATTTTTCAAATAAAATGGCATCTATTAAGGGGGAACGTTTTTTT